TAGGAATATGTTCAAACCCTTGTAAAGTAGCAGAATTCCCAAAGCACAACCCAATGTCCTTCAACTCTTTTATTTGATTAGACTAGTCTGCTATTGTAGTTTTTAGCTTCAGTCCATCTATGATTTCAATTCCTCAACCGGTGAACCCCCGATCAACGAGTACTTTTTCTTTTCTTCTCTTTTGAACCACTTGAAATAAAAAGAATGTGTAGGAAGAGAGCTGAGAGGAGGCATCAGCTGTAATGTGTCTGCACTGTGGCCAGTCGATAATTGTTTCACTACCTCCTTTTGGTTGTTGGTCTTGGGCAGGAAATTGATTCTCAAGAAAACTGAGTCAAGTAAAAGAGAATTATAACATTGCTTTCCCAACATGTCTTTCTTTCAAAAGAACGTTTGTAAGAAAGCAAGATTTTATTAGCATGTAACTTCTTCTCTTTGTTCTTCTCAAATTTATTATGAAAAGTGAACGTGCATTGCTATTGTTTTTATTAACATTTCTCCTATGCAATCTATGTCTATTACTGTTGATGCATATGTTCATATAATGTGTTCACCTGACATCCTTATGGTTGTGTTAAAAAATGATTCTTCCAGTTTTATAGGTACAGTTGATTTATAAATTAAATACTGAAGCGTCTCTACCATATTCCTGTTTTTAGGACATGTGTAATCTTGTGTTCTCTGCATTTCTTGATTGCTAGAATCTCTTGATTCTCAAATACAATACCTGCACGCTCTATTCATTACTTCCTGAGATCATTACGTTTGTGTTAAAAATGCTGCTTCTATATTTGGAGTGTATTGTTGTTTTTCAGCTAAGAATTCAAGTCTGTCTCTCTACCATGTTTTGGAAAGGATTTAGCAATAAGCCTACAAACTTCACAACACACCAATAAGCTCCTATTTGAATTAAAAGCTATATCTTGCCCTCTCTACATCTCCCCTGACGGTTAGGAAAGACCGACCCAGCATGGGCACATTGTCAGGAAGACTCTGTGTCTTCAAAAAGAGGAAAGAATTTGATTTGTATGTATTGCCACAAGGTAATTAAGGGAGGTGGTATTAATAGATTCAAGCAACATTTGGTGGGGATTAAAGGAGAAGTAGAATAATGTACTAGATGCCCTCCCAATGTTAGTTATGAGATGAGATTGGTTCTGGAAAGTATTGTGACCAAGAAAAGAAAGACACGACAACATTATGATGAAATGAATCCATATGGACCAGAGTTTCGAAATTATGAAGAGTAGAAATATATGCAAGAAAATGATGATGTTCAAGAAATTTCATCCTCTTATAAAGCAAAAGACATTTTCATTGGTGGAGGTCATGGTAAATCAATACATAACAAGGATGCAGGAAGAAAAGGTAAAACAATTGGCTCTTACTTCGTACCAAGGACTACCCCGGTTCTCAGCCTAATATCAAAAGTGTTTTGCAAAGTAAGGAGGCAAAAGAGAGGTGTGATCTTGCGGTTTCCAATTGGATAATGGATGCTTGCATTCCTTTTAATGCTGTGAATTCCATGTATTATCAGCCTATGTTAGATGCAATTACTGGTTTTGGTGGTGGATATAAGGGTCCTAACCTTCATGACTTGCATGGTTATTTTTTGAACAAGAATGTTGAAGAAGTGAAAAATTTTGTCCATAGATTTCAAACCACATGGAAAGAGACTGGTTGTACTATCATGGCTAATGGGTGGACAGATCAATGTAGGAGAACATTGATTAATTTCTTGGTTTATTGCCCTAGAGGAACGGTGTTTTTAAAGTCTGTTGATGCTTCTAAGACAACAAATATGCTATATAAGTTATTTAAGGAAGTTGTGTTACAAGTTGGTGCAGAAAATGTGGTGCACATAGTGATCAATAATGCTGCCAATTATGTTGCTACTGGGAGTTTATTGGAGCAGGAGTTTCGCACAATATCTTGGTCACCATGTGCAACTCATTGTTTGAATTTGATGTTACAAGACATTGGCAAGTTGGATGAGGTAAACCATGTTGTCTCCCAGACTTCAAAGATTACAAAATATGTATATAATCATTGCTTTCCATTACATTTGATGAGAAACACACTAGTGGAAGGGAAATACTTCGTCCTGCTCCTACACGCTTTATAACCAATTTCATTGCATTGTAAAGTATTTTAGCTCAAAAGGATGCCTTACGAGCTATGGTGGTATCAAGGGAATGGACTATGTCAGCATATGCAAAGGATAGCAAGGGAAAAAAATTCGTTGACTGTGTGTTGGATTCTAATTTTTGGAAAGAATGTGCTATTATTGTCCAACTCAAAGAGCCTCTTGTACGCGTGCTACGCCTTGTTGATATTGATGATAGGCCTTTAATGGGCTACTTGTATATGGCTATGCATAGAGCTAGGGAGGAGTTGCTGAAAAGATTTCAAAGAAAGAGAAAAAGAGTAGATGTTTACTTGAGAATCATTAATAGTCGTTGGGATCGTCAATTTCATAGAAATCTTCATGTTGTTGGTTATTGGTTAAACCCAAGTAATCAATATTAGTCAAATGAGATGGCAAATCATCGACAAATGATTTCAGGGCTCTTGGATGTAATTGAGAGATATGCTTATGCAAATCCCAGTTTGAGTAGTAAGTTGACAAATGAGATGAAATTGTTCAGAAATGCAGAAGGTGACTTTGGGCGAGTAACTGCTATAAGAGATCGAGAGAGAATGCTTCCTGGTATTGAAAATATTTAGTATCCTAATTCAAGTTATATACTTCACTTTTGTTGTTAACATTTGATTGTGATGCATTACATTATTAAATGCAGATGAGTGGTGGTTGTGCTATGAAAATAGCGCGTCAAACTTACAAAAATTAGCCATTTGTGTCTTAAGCCAAACATGTGGTTCTTCCGGTTGTGAACGAAATTAGAGTGTATTTGAACACATCCATTCTAAGAAAGGAAATAGGTTGGAGCATCAAAGGCTTAATGACCTTGTTTATGTTCACTACAATTAC